GAGAAATATAAAGACAATGCTGAAGACATTGCCTTTTATACTGGTTTACCAGACTATAATGCACTGCTGATATGTTTCGACATGGTTAAAGATGCAGCAGAGCATATTGAATATGAACATGAACGAACGCACCCAGGAATTCAGTGTGGCAGACCTCGATGTTTAACCAAGTTCCAAGAGTTTACTTTGACACTAGTGAGATTAAGGCTTGGATTGCTGGAAAAGGACCTTGCTCATCGGTTTAGTGTCTCAAGACCCCTTGTATCCAAAGTTTCAAGGGCCTGGACGAGATTTCTGAGGGGACAGTTTGAGCCACTTATTACTATTCCACCCAGGGAAGTTCTCAAACTCTACATGCCTGACATTTTCAAATCCTTCTATCCAGACTGTGTCATTATTGTGGACTGTACAGAGTTTGAGATGGAGAAACCTTCAGCACTTAATTCTCAATCTGCTTGCTACTCGTCATACAAGTCTAGAACGACGATGAAAGCCTTGCTTGGTATAACACCCAGTGGTGCTTTATGTTTTGTCAGTGAGCTATTTCCTGGTTCAACTTCTGACAAGGAAATAACAGCTCAAAGTGGACTGTTGGACAAGTTACAACCTTATGATCAAGTTATGGCAGACAAAGGGTTCAACTGCACTGATGAGCTTGCTTCTGTGGGAGCAGAACTGATTAGACCAGCATTTTTGGTTAAAGATACACAATTCTCAAAAGAAGAAACCAACCACAACAAGATTGTTGCCAGTTTGAGAGTACATGTTGAGCGATTGATGGAGAGAATAAAGAATTGGCACATCTTTGACCACCGAATTCCAATTACTCTTGCCCCCATAGCATCTGATATGTTATTTGTAGTGGCTGGACTTTCTAATTTTTACCCTCCTTTGATTAATTAAAATTTATGTGAATATAAAGCAACATTTTAATACTTAACAATGGTATGGATTTATGTTTTATTGCCTTGCATTAAAATAGCATTGATAAACTAGTGTTTGATAATGTATTATGATATTGCCATCATACCACTGGACTGTAACCAGACTGGTTATAAGTCATTACAATAATCCAAGCACACTACACATGTAGTTAGTAAATATTTTACTCAGTCAAATATGAACATAACTGTGTACAATGTATAAAAATACTGAGTTAATGTGTATAGACAAAACAGATCGCTGTTTCTTTCAAGACAAAGTTTATCTAATCTTAGCTATAGCAAATACCTATAGGGTGGTTTTTAAAAAACCTGTGAAACAATTAATACTATTTACTTTCTAATAGTGCCAGTATTAAACAATAGAAACAAAAGCATTTAAGCAGAAAAGCACTAAACATGTACAAAACTTAGTACGTGTTTCACAGGCTTTTGAAAACCATTCTACCTTCACAAATATATTGTTTACACTCTGATAGTACTAAAAAGTGTGCAACATAATTTGGGCAAACCACTAATTCCCATTAAATTTTGATTTGCCTATTTCATTGTATAGTTTTCTTAAATTACACACTTTTACTGAAATGAACACATTGATTTTGACTGTTTTAAACTGAACGAGCATTCAATTTAGGAATTCCATACTTGACTCTAGGATACACAAGTTCTGGAACAATCCAGTCATTAAAAAAGGATTCTAGCTTGGGCAAAATAGACTTCCAGCGGTCTATTGAAAAATGTACTCTTTCACAAAACAGTGAATCACAGCCTGAACCCTTTACAACAAAATCTGTCCACTTTCTTCCAGTAACAAACATTTGCTGATGGACTTGGTAGAAGTATTTGTGTTTGTCATTTAATCTCAATGCATTACTGTTCTTTTTGCAAATGCTCTTGCGTAACAATGCCTTTTCTAGTGTTTCATCCTTTGATGTCTGGACATACTTAACTTCTATAAGTCCCTCTGAATCAGAGGCTGATGGATCATGTACAAGGCCATCGGGGCTAGCACCAAGGTAACCATGTTCTTTTGAAACAAAAAACCCACATTTTGAGACTGTTATGCCTTCATCTCCTTGACTTTGCTTGAGAAGCTTGTAATCATTGATAATCTGGTCTTCCATTTTCAGTCCTTCCTCCATTGACTTACTTTGATAGGCCTTGTTGTAACCAAGTATATCTTTAATTATCTTAGTAGGGGACGTACTTTCTCTCTGTACAGCTACACGGTAACATTTTGTGGCAGTAATCCTTGGTTGTCTGTGGCGATGCCATAATTCAGTGTTTGATTGACCTCTAGTTTGTTCCTCAATATCTTGCCTTTGTAAATCATCAACCATAAGATTTCTCTTTGCTTTTTCAAACTTTTCTTTTAGCTCTTTTGCTGACACGGGATGACATTTGACTGGTGAAAGCAGAGAATCCTTTACATCCTGAAGTTTCTTTACTTCCTGAGGCAGTATATGTGTCCAAGCTACAGTGTTTCCTGATACCCTCTGGTACTCCTTCATCATTTCAAAAAACCTTGACTTGTTTTCATCGCGACAAGCATTTTGGTTTGCATTTACTGGAGAGTGATGAAGCTTACGTATCTTCTTCTCTTTCGTGTAGTCGTGCTTCACAAAAGTCATCTCATTTATGGGCTGTATTGCACCTTTTCTCTTTCGTGGCACATTCCACTTGCATGGTTTGGAGGTGCATGACTCATCAGACTCATCCAGTTTTTCCCTTACTTTACAATAGTTTTCTAAAGCAAAAAGTGTTGATGCAACATGGTTACATCTCCCATCTATGCCAGCAGGGCATTTGCAGTGGGCTCTTAGCATCTTTCCAAGTGAACTAATAACTAAGTAGCATGTATAAACTTTGTCCTTTTTCATAGATGGGAGGACTTGGCTTTTGATGTAGTGCTTGCCATTTTGTTGTAGGTGGCCTATGTACAGGACATGACCAGATTTAAAAAAGTTGAATCCTTTAACAAGTGGCTTAGCAGTGGAGAGCTGCTTTTTACATTCTACACCTTCGATCATAAATCTCCACACAGTTCCAAATGATATTTTTGGTAGTGCCTTTATATCTGGTTGGAATCCTTCTTTTGGGAATGAATCCTTTACTTCAGGCTCTTGATTCTCAAGTACGCCAAGTTGAGCTTTTTTCCGTAACAAATTGACGCCGCCATCCGGATCACGCAAGTATTTAACATCAAATCCATGCTTGATGTAGTCGTGTACTCTATAAGTCAAAATTAGAGCACTCATAAGTACGAGAGGACTTTATTAAATTCGAAAATTTCGATTATATTAAATTTTTACTCTTAGGAAATTTTAATAATAATTCTGAAAAGGCATATAATTACAAATAAAGTTGTTATAAATAAAAATAACTTATTGCGTGTAAAGGTTCTTAGTTTAAAAGTTGCCAGCTTCGATACGAACCTCGACACTAAAGCTTTCTTTGTTCCCGTCGTTTTTGCACCTCTGCAAAGCAGCCACCTCTTCAACTGGACAACGCTACATTTTTCAACAGAATCCCTTGGAAGTTTTGCCCCAGGAATATCTTCCTGAGTTAGTTTAACAGTTAGTTTGGCTTTGCTCTCGCTTTCAGCCAAATTGATTTGGAAAATCTGTCCCTTCAAACAATCCATAGATGCTTTGCGGTCCCAATTCGGACCCAATCCCCAACTCGTTTAGAACATGGGGAATTGCTTAGTTCTTATTAACCGAGCGGGAGGTCTGTATGGGAGAATCTTGACCGAGGGGTGAGGTCTGTACCAGCAACCAAGGTCAAGATTCTCCCATACAGACCGACCTAGCTCGGTTAATAAGATGTTTATTATATGGCTGTCTTGCATGCCAATTTTTTATATTCTTTGTACCTTTTTTTCTAGACCGTTCTAGATGCCGGTCTGGATGGGAAAATCTAGACCGCTTTCAATATTGATTTCAGCGAATCAAACTCGTGAATTCGGTAGGTCCCAGTCCTTGTGAAACACAGCCATATAATAATGTAGAATATTGTAAAGTCCGAGCTATCGCCGCTTAACGGCATCATTAGGGAAGTATAAGATAAAATATTCTGTGAGAGCCGAATAAACGGGAGAAAAGTGTCACTATACTAATGAGCTAGCCAGTGTCACTGTGGGAGGATCCAGTGTGATATGGGAGGCCTTAGAACAATAGGTCCGCGAATTAAATGCATTCTTCTCGCGAGTGAAGTGTAGCTTTGTTTTTCCTTATGTAAAAAGCTTCAAATAGGCGGAGGTTTGCCGGGTCGTTTTCTAATGTAATGATTTTGACTTAAATGCCTTTGTAATCCTTGTTTTGGCATATAGTGATGTGTTTGTTTACGGATGAATTTACGCTTCTGAGATGTTCTTTCACACGGTCGTGGATGGAGCGAGTGGTGCTCCTGATGTAGTCTTGGTTACAGTTTTTGCATGTAATTTGGTAAAGAGAGTTTCTTGATAAACACAGGTTGGTATGCCCTCTCAAAATATTTTATCTTACCCGTCTCTGATGATGGCGTTGAGCGGCGAAAGCTCAGACTTCTACAATATTTTACAGTAATTCAAGGCCACGTTAGTGTTTTTATTGTTTTACCCAAAATATTACTGAAGGACAACATTCAAAGATTGATAAAATAATATTGTTCAAGGTAAAAGGTAAACAAGTTTTAAATAAGGACGAAAAGTGAGGCTCGGGAAAGAGTGGCTTCTTCAGAAGTGCCTTGAACATAGAGATTTTGATATTTCTATCAATTGAATTAAAAGTAATATGCAATCCAAACTGTTTCTGCAATCTTTGTCTGCAGATGTTTTTGACAAGTTACCCGCATCCTGCTGTCCCGCAAAGTACCGCGATGTCTGTTGTCCGTTTGTAAAACCGTGTAGGTCTTCAGCAGCGGCACCTACCCCTAGAGTGATGACATCAAGTCCAACGCAGAGAAGCGGGGGAAAACCGTTTTGTATGAAACCTCAAAACTCGTCAGCTTGTGAGGCAGGATTTTTCTTGAACAAACTTTCGCGAAAACTCGAACCCTGTCCTAAAGGTAAGTTTGTTGTTACTGCTTGACATTTGATCATTTTGTCGTTCCGAAGTCTGAAGTCGCAACCACTTCCGGTTGTTTGTTTAATTGAAATATAGTGAGTAGCCAAGGTTCCTAGCAATTTGTAAATGCGGAAGTTCGATAAAAATAGTTGTTTCTTTCGCGGTTGATGGATAAAAGCTATTTACTATCAATAACATTCGTGCGCTAATGGAATTATTAATGAAATAAATAGTGGAGCAGCGCAATTAAGAGAACAAAACCGTTCACATGATCTCATGAGGAGGGGGGCATTGGGGTTTGCGGTTTTGCGATTTTGGCTATTTTTTAGATCGGTTTTTCGGCTGTTGTGCCAAAACACGTCGGTTTTACGGTTTTGTTGATCATTGCGTTTTGCGGATTTTCCGTTTTCAGCATTTGGTTTTCGATTTTCGTTAAAAATTTTGACGGGTACTCGGATTTGGTATCCGATGTGCTTTTTCGGTTTTTCTTATTGCGTTCCGGTTTCTGTTCGATCTGAGCAGCAGTTAAACGCCTCTGCTGATCTCGAATAGCCACGAAACCTAGGTTGCTCCACTTGTAACCACAGTATCAGATCGATTAGGATTTTGACAATTGAGATGTGCAAATGCATCGGTTAGACGGTTTTGCATGTGTTTTTCCGTTTTGATCCAATTTTTGTGCGGTTTTACATTCCCCTCCATGAGAGGAGTGAATTTAACCCTCACCAATTAAGCGATTGTGGAGATATTGACTTAATAAATATTTTCAGGCTTCTACTGTCCCCAGGACCAGGTCTGTATCGTACCATGCCCAATGGGAGCATACTGTGTCAGAGATAAACTAGTTAACGCCACGGTAAGTTTTTTTTTTTCCTTCATTATCAACTTAAACACGAAGGCGCGCTATAAAAGGGGTCTTTGGTCCCATTGGACCATTTGTCAATCAACCGTTGTGTGATGTAGAAATCTTAGAGGCAAGTCAGCTTGAGCTACAGCTACTCCAAAGCAGTGAAGAGCGGGCGCATTCCTCAAAATTGTTTTATGTCTTCATCACAATACAAGAATTTTTGAGATTTGTATTTCCTTTCTCCAATGGAAACTGTCTTTATTTGTGGCGGTAAATTTGAGATCGAAGTAGGTGGTTCGCACGTTACCTCATGCCACCATGCTGGTGGAAGTAAACAATAGATATCTCATTAGCTCCTTTTGTTCGTCTACCAGCATTTAAATTTGACCTGCACACGTCAACGGTGAGTGACAAATGAGCCTAGGTCTTCCCAGGGAAGACTTCCTTATATAGCGCGCCTTCGTGTTTAAACACAAAGGCGCGCTATAAAAGGAGAGGTGCCTTCGGTGCCTCTGGGGTAACAATGGTGAAAGGATCAAATGCTTGTGGACGAACAAAAGGAGCTAATGAGATATCTATTGTTTACTTCCACCAGCATGGTGGCAATGATGTAACGTGCGAACCACGTACTTCGATCTCAAATCTACCGCCACAAATAAAGACAGTTTCCATTGTATTGTGATTGAGACAAATAACAATTTTAAGGAATGCGCCCGCTGTTCACTGCTTTGGATTAACTATAGCTCAAGCTGACTTGGCTCTTAGAGTTCTACATCACACGACGGTTGATTGACAAATGGTCCAGAGGTACCTAAGGCACATCTCCTTATATAGCGCGCCTTCGTGTTTAAGACAGAGTGAGAGGAGCGGTGGCCAAATGTGCAATTCGTTGCACTCGAGGTCGATAAGTACGGGTTCGACACTGGCCGATAAGTTTGTGGGCATAACACTCTGCCAAAGAGTCTGAATGGGTACCGGCGAATTGTGAGGGGAGCCTAATGGAGTTGATGAAATGCTGAAGAGTAACCTTGCGATGGCCCAGTCACATGGGCTACTTCTTCTTGCTAGACACGAGGGGATTTATTAAGGTTACTTCCCACCTTCGCGGGTGTCATTCGGGGAAAAAATTCGTACGCGCGCTAGTTTCAAGAAAACCGTAACAAACCATACATCAAAAGAAAGCTTAATAAATGTAGTTTACGATAAAATTTAATTTAGGCATTTTTCATTTAGAAAGTGTCAGGGGCCGGTAAAGCGTGAAACGACCGACGGTCGTTCTATTGAATTTATCGGGTATCGGATCCCGCAGCAAGAGCAAAATGGGTGTACAGTCTTATTCACAAGGCATCAATCAACTTAAGTGTCAGGCTTTTCCGATATTCTGATTGGTTGTCTAGCTATCCGCATCAAAAGTTGGAGCAGCGTAAAATATGCAAAACGTGTTGCATGAATGAACACCACGTGAAAAATATTTCAAACATCAAAATTCTCTGACATACTTTCGTTCTTCATTATCCCTGGGATGTTTTGGCAAAATTTCGCGAAAATCAATAAAATCTACATACCCTACAAATTCGCTCAAAGGGGGTTTGGATTTTTAGATAGATGGATAGTTTATTTATATAATAACTTTGCAACCCAAGAGTTGAATTACGCCATATTTACATGGTAAAAATATATTTAACAATTATTCCACAAGCGCGCGTTGGATATGCGATGATAGATAGCCAACGAGGTGCGTAGCGCCGAGTTGGCTATGTAATCATCCCATATCCAACAAGCGCGAGTGGAATAACTGTTTTATTAAAAACGTTAAATTAAATTATTAAATTTTTTAGCTCCCTTTTAATTTTAAGCTGACGCGTACGCTTGCTTTAGTTGTAGATTATGGTATATTGGTTCGTATACCATAATGGCTAAGCCAATTAAGTCTTGAATTGTATTATCCAATGATCCAGTTTTTAATATATATATAGTTCTGTCTACAGTTAGTTATATATATATATATATAACAAGTCAAAAGGCCTCGAGCCAACAGTGACGCCGCGCCAGAAGGATCCTATATATCTATATATATAGGAAGTCTGCAAGTCGATTTTCGCGTGGAACAGTGCTCAATACGTTGAAGCAGAGCAGAATAAATATTATGAGAGGAAAAAAGGACGTAACTACATTTCCCGACAAGCCTGTTTCGTGAATCGCTTCACTCTTCAGGGGTTTAATGAAAGAATATTCATGTGACTATCGTTTATATACTAGGAAAATTTGCATAATGCGCGGTAAACTTAAAAACTTTAAAGTTCAGTTGTTGCGTAGCAACGCTTTGTTTCTGTGTCGGCATGAAGATACGAGTTCGTTACGCTTATTTAGTGATGAGAGGTCGGGTCGGTAAATTATCAGGAATTTTTCTTTTAGGCAGAGGTTGCATCTTTTATTGGAGCTGTTGTAGGGAGAGTTAGATGATAAGATGCGCCATGAGATAGAATAGTCAATGTTGTCGTTCTTGAGTGTCCAGATGTGTTTGCTAAGTTCGGTAGAGTTTTTGTGCTTGGCGTGGCGGAATGATGCGGTGTGATTTCTGTGTCTTGTTTTGAAGTCGGTTTCTGTGAGTCCGATGTATGTTTCAGAGGTGTTGTTGTCGTTCCGTGTGACGGTGGCTTGATAAACGACTGAGGATTGAAGGCAGTTACCATTGAGCGGGCAATTGTTCTTTTGTCGGCAGTTGCATGTTTTGTTGGTTTCCGTGCCGTCTTTGTTGTCTTTCGTGTAAGGTGAGTGGGACGAGTGTAAGATGCGCTTGTTGTGGTTGTCGATGACCTGTTTGGTGTTGTTCATACAGCTGTAACTGATTTTGATGGTGTTGCGGTTAAATATTTTGCGGAGGCTGTG